AGTGCCGTCAACGCCAACCAGATGCCACTAGTCACGCTCATTGCTTCCTTATGTTTCTGTGTCTGCCTCAAAAAAAAAAAAAAAAAATTAATGATCAGTTTTGAGTCTTTTGACTCCCACCCACGCTTCGTTTGCGTGGAAGAAATCAGCAAAGAGGGCAGCACAGCACATTCATGGGGCACCAAAAAAAAAAAAATTGGTACCATAACTTCAAAATTTATTATTTTAATGGATATTTTTTAATTTTTATAGGTTATGTAACAACAAAATATTTATAATTTTTGTAAGTTTTTTTATTACTGTATTGGTAATTATTTTTATTATTTTTCATCGATATAAAAAAATTTATCATTTTTGTGGATGATTTACTACATTTGTGGGTGTTTTTATCACTTTTTTTTGACATCATAACAGTGATAAAAATACTCACAATAATAATAAAAATATTCACAAATATGATAAATATCAATACGATACCAAAATTTATTTTTACGATTCCGTAGACAACTCCAACCCCAACCCTCGAGGATAGTTAGGCATACATATCAAAATGGAATTATATCTGTAATAATTTCAGAATAACTTAATTAGAGGGTGATTGAATAATGTAATTTGGTGTTTATTAATGGGTGGTCCTTTCACATGATTTGATTTAAACGTCAAGAATTTGATTTATGAGTATAATCTCTTTAGGTAAGCCTATTGATACTTGACCATTGCCAGTTGCTCCATTGATGGCAAGAAAAATAATTGGTCAAGACAGTGATTGAGAGTTTACAGGCTTTTGTATGGCAAAGCACGGTTCCTCCATCCATGACTTAACAAAGGAAGATGGGGGGGGGGAGGGAAGGGATTGAAGTTGTGAAGAGGTATGTTTAACATAGAGGAATGGCATTCATGTACACTTCCTTTCTTTTGTTTGTTGAAGATGGAGCGGTTGACATTTGAAATTTCGAGATATAAGGTCATATAATATCTCTCATCTCTCTTCCTCTCCAGGCCCCGTCAATGAATCGGAATTAGACTAGATTTAAATTCATTTGAATCTAATTGAAAATTTTGTTATTGAATCCAATTAAAAAATTCATTATCTAATTCAATATGCTTATTAGATAAAAATATATTAATTCTAATTCGTTTATAATTGGACATTTTATTCAATTACCTGATCCGATCCATAATAATATTTTACCAAAATTTTAATAAATCTATCTCTCTATATATAAAACAATCAAATTAGGTGGGAGGTGACTTGAGAAGCCTTCTCTCCAACTTTCTTTTTTCTTAGAATTTAAAATTTTTTAATTTAAAACTTAAGACTTCCTCCAATCGAACGTTGACATGTATCATTGGTAACTATCCACCAATTTTTCAATAATTAACCATTAATTTTAAAAAAAAATCACTTTTTATCACCCAAAAACTTAAATATAATTATTTATTTAACTTCTCAATTAAAAAAATTAAAAATTAAAAAAAAACACCAATTATAATCTTATGCATCGGACTACTAGTAATCTTTATTTAGATCAAATACAAATAATCAATATAATCAGAATAGATTTTTATCGGATCGAATTTATATATATTTATATTCATATCTGATTTAAGATATCTAAACAGATTCATATCGAATTCGGATAAACAAATGAAAGTATTAGCCCAGATTTGGTTAAACGAATCCAAATTTAGACAAATTTGGTTCATTGAAAGGCGTATTCCACTCCACTAGTACCATGAAAAACACAATTTCATTGAAAGAATTAAAAAGATGGAACATAAAAATTGTTGTATCTTTGTTAATAATGACATACTTCCCCTGTTCCTAAATATATGTCGTTTTATGTAATTTTTGTTGTTCTATAATATCTGTTGTTTAATGAAATCAAAGTATAATTAAAAAAAAATTCTAAATTTACCCTTAATTTTTCAATGCATTAGATTTGGTGGAGGTTAAGTGTCTTTCATTTTCATTTCTTTCCCAAAACGTATTGAATAAGAGTATTTTAGTCTTGTGTAATTATTTTTTACTCATATTAGAGCTATTTAATAATTTTTTTAATTTCTTGTACAAAAATTTTAAATTACAGATATTTAAGAATAGTAACTTTTTAAAACCCAATTGACCACTATTGACTTTCTAAAATAGGTGTCAAATGTCATCAATCTTGGTTCTGCCCTTTTTTAAATGTGCTCAATGCAGAACTCTCTGCATCCTGGGTAACAAACAATGAATGACACACAACACTCAAGAAATCTATTGGGATAATTGAAGGAATCTAGAACTAGAGTGAATGGAGATTCATTTCCACAGGTGTGACTCACTATTCAGGTGTGCACATTAAAGTCATGAAAAAAGCAAGAGAGAAAAGAAAAAAGTGAGAATAACTTTAACTTTACATATTGCACACATTTTCATTGTAAGCTTGCTTTTGGAAATCCAGATGTTAGATGATTAACGGTTGTGGGACACTTAGGCCACAGGCCGATTGCTGGCAATGTACTTAAAAACACACTAAAAAATGTCATAGCTATCCAAACAAGTAGACTGTCATTTGAAGTTGATGATTGAATTATTAAAATGAACTTTTAAGCTAAAGCACTGATACAACTAGCTAGGAAGATCAGGTCCCTGTCATGTCAATATTTATTCAAATCTTGTTGGTTTTTATAATTAATGTAATTGATGGTTGAATTCAAATTGTATATAATCGAATACATTTCTATGTTTAATGATATTCGTATTAATCGATTTATAAATAAATCAATTTAATGGCAGAATATGACATACTTTCTCAATACTTGTCATGCAATAGATCAAGAATTCAAACTTGACCAGAATAGTTGGAGGTTTGCGTTGTTAAAAATCCCGGTATTGATCGTGGATCAACACACAAATGTTAACCTCCAAAGGTTTCTAAAATTTAAGGTGCAAGAATAGAAGAGAAAAACATCTACTTATAGGTGGAGAAAAAACATCTGCTTATAGGTTGAGAGTAGCTAGATAATCAAAGAATAAGTCCCTAACTTTACCAAATGTTAATTTGACATCTCTACAAAAAAATTTCAATGTCCTTGTCTAAACCTATCACTCACAGCCAAATCAAAACATCTCAAAATAGAAAGAAAAAAAAAAGAAGGAAATTGGTAGATAGATTGATTCCTTGAAGGTTAAAGAAGTTCCATTATGATTGTAAGGGAATGATTAAGTAGAGTTTTATGTCCCTTTCGCACCTAATATGATTGCCAAGCTCCAAATAAAAAGAAGCCAACTTAGCTGGTCTTCTCAAAATTCAATTGGGCAGCAATAATAATGGAATAATTAATCTGAACCCTGAAAGACAAGATGAGTTAATAAATACTTGACTTTTTCTTTGTTTTTTTGATAAATTAAAAAAGATTGAGGCGACCGATATGTAGTAACCCCTACGACATGACCATGATGATTCTTTCCCTGTGAAATATCCAGTTTGAATCATACCAACTCGGAAGAATAGCTCATTACCACAGCACCATCAAAGTCTAGTAGAAAATTTTGTTGCTCCCGTATGAGAGTAGACATCCTAAACAGAAAACGGCTTACAATTAGACCACTGGTTCGAGTGGTGAATAAATACTTGACTTTATCAGATTTGATTAATCTTTGCTAAATGTTAGTTATACCAAATGATATGAATATCTTAGTTTCATCGTAGATGATCTGTCTTTAATTAAAATGAATAAAAAAATTAGTTAAGGTGCATGTAAATTAACTCACATATCTTTAACCGTTGAAAAAAAATTAATTAATAAAATATATATGATTTATTTTCTCAATTGTTATATTTTTATTAAAAAATGATGCCACTTGATGATAATAATGCGTGTTACTTTTGCAACGAATATTTTCTCCTGCTAGGATCACTTTGATTAATTAAATACAAACGGATAACGAACAGAGTTGAGAGAAGGTCGTAAAGCAAAAACGTGCTGCGTATGAAGACACGTCTGAACCCGGGTCCACTCATTTAAGACCATGGCCCATCCCCAATATATTCCCCATTCTCCCCTGTACGCAAAGCGCTTCGCACGCCTTTCTTTGCATGTCATCAGAAACGAGAAAATGTTTGATGGTTCAATTCAAATTGCGTATTAATAATAAATAAAATAAAATAAATTTTATTAATTCAATGCATTGATGATTAAATAATTATTAATAGTAATTAGAATACTGAATTTTACTTTATTCACTCATTATTTTTTTATTAAATAATAAAACCACATAAAAATAATAACGCGATATTACCTTACAGTAAATATTTACTCGAGTCATATTATGAAGATTTAATTTGAATAACTAATTAGAGACCAAAATTTAATTAAATTATTAGATTAATTATAAATTTTAATATTAAATGGATGTCACATTGAATTAAATTCTTAAATTTAATAATTATTAAAGATGGTTCATTGGCTTGACTTAGTCTTGGTAATTCAGTTGTCTCAGATTCAATAATTCTTATATCTCGAAAGTCAGTTACCCTTATTTTTTTCAGGGACATGTTCTAAAAAAAAATCTTTAGGGTGGTTCAGCGAACAAGGCTACTCTCTTTCAAGTAAAAAATTTTAAGTTTAATATATTTCACCTCCACTAAGAAGTTTTAAATTTAATATTTTTCACACCTATAAAGATCGGTCATTCTTGTCTTTTAGAGGACATGTTCTTAAATTAGTTCGAATTACGGTAATCGGCTCAAGAATTAAGGTTTAATCAGCTAAAATTTGAACAATTTATAGAAAATAATAATAATAATAATAATAAAAAAGATATGTTTTAAATTGACTAAAGCTATGACAACCAATTAACCAAAAAATTTTCAAAAAATGTAACAACAAAAATAATAAAAATTGAATGGAGGTACAATATTTCTATTTACTCGTCAAAAACAATCCGGCAACTAAATACCACCACCCACCCTTTTGAATTTTCAACAACTTCTTCTACTGGTAGTTTATTTTAGATTTCATTCCCACCTCCGTAATCAAATCAAAAGCTGTAAATCAAAACCCTCTTTACGACTTTATGTCTCTCCACCACCAAAAACGCAACCACCACTTCGGTTATGGCCGGTCCCTTTCCTGCTCTCTCACTCTCTTCCCTTCCCCTTTGTCTCTCCCTTTTCTCTCTCTTCACCACTCATATACTTGAACACCTCTGTTCCTATCTCTATATTCTTCATTTTTATGGGTTATTTGTCTTGCAATGCAGAGTCTGCGATTGCTACATGCGATCAATACAACTGGGACTTAACCAAGAAACCCAGAAAGCTTCGAAACAAACCCTTCAAGATCAAGCAGTTCTCCTACTCTGATCTCCACTCTGCCACCAATGGCTTCTGTCAATCCAACTTCCTAGGGAAAGGCAGTCACGGCTCCGTTTACAAAGCCCTTCTCGACGACCACAAACTCACCGCCGCCGTCAAGAAAACCACAACATCGGATACGAGCTGTACGAACAATCCTGCAGAGAACGAGATCGAAATACTCTCCCGGGTCCGACACCCGAGGCTCGTCAATCTTCTGGGCTTCGCCGGCGACTCAGAGGAAAGAAAATTACTGGTCGTTGAGTTCATGCCAAACGGGTCCTTATTCGACCTGCTTCACAGCTCCACCAGACCGCCCGGTTGGGCTCGACGAGTCCGGTTCTCATTGCAAATCGCCAAAGCGGTGCAGTTTTTACACTCATCAAACCCGCCGGTGATTCACAGAGATATAAAGTCGTCGAACGTTTTGATCGACGGCAACTTCAACGCAAGGCTCGGCGACTTCGGCTTGGCGTTGAGAGGACACGTGGAAGATGTCCGTGTAAAATCTACGCCGCCGGCGGGCACTTTAGGGTACTTAGACCCAAGCTATCTTGCGCCGTGTGATCTCAGCACTAAAACTGACGTGTTCAGCTTTGGCATTTTGATATTGGAAATTATCAGTGGTAGAAATGCTATTGATATGAATTATAGTCCACCGTCGGTGGTGGATTGGGCAGTGCCGGTAATCAAGTCGGGCGACTATGCCGAGATTTTTGACGCAAGGATAAGGCCGCCGGAGGACACGGAGGCTATGCAGCAGCTTGCAGCGGTGGCCGCCAAGTGCGTCAGATCCACGGCGTCGAAGCGGCCGGGAATGGCTGAGGTGGTGGAGTGTTTGAAGAAGGTAAACAAGAGAATGAATTCGCTGATTTGGAATAATTTAGGGCGGCGCGTGGGAGATGTTTGTGGGGTTAAATGTGAACCGTTGGATGAGAGTTCGGAGATGATCAAGACTCCGCGGAATGGGTCCAGAAGAAACAGGAAGGTGAAGGTATCAAGTGTGACGAGTGTAGAGTTAGGGAGTGATGGGATTGGTGGGGTTAGTGATCGTGTGGTGAGGTCTAAGTCCATTGGATCAGTTAGGGAGATTAAATTTGTGCCGCCTGATTTGAGTAGAGTGGAAAGGAGGAGAGCAGGATTGGCTGTGAAGATTCCTATGGTGAGGTTGAGCAAGTCAAGGTCAATGGGAGTGTTGCAAAGCACAAGACTGTTGAATAATAATAATAATAATAATAATAATGGGGTTGTGAAAAATCCCAATGTTAAAGAGTTGGAAGAGTCTAAATTGTTGGTGAGTGTAAAGAAAGTGCACCAAAAGGAAGGCCAACAATGAGTTGGTAACCCAATTCTTTGATATGAATTGTTTCTTGTATCATTATCATTTTACCTCCATCTGTTGTAACATCATTACATTACATTGCAATTTATAAAGATTGGTTTCATTTGTCGTGGCTTTGTTCGACTTTGCTTCTTTAAATAACCATAATTATGCGGATGAGCAAATGGTTCTAGTTCTATACAAAGTAAAATCTGTAGCTGATTTTGAACGATTAGAAAGACACATTGTGTTGAATTGAATCGAGATGAATCTGAGTATTCTTCATTTTATCGTATCAAAACTAATGTCCATGGATAAACATTGCATTTACTTTGGCATTACTACTATCATGTTGGTTGGTTGGTTGGTTGATGACCACCTCTGAAGCATGTACCAATTTGAAACTGGCCTCTACTTTGAGAGTTTTCTTTCCGTTGCTTGGCCTCTACTTTGAGATACTGAATTTTAGATTCCTTTTTCTATTTATTCATATAGTTTAGAATGACATAATTCTTTTAGCTGCTCCACATATACTGACAATGCTAGTTTGGGAATGATTTTGTATGTTTCTGCTGTCAAGTAACCCTTAATGGAAACTTGCCGCCACAACATTTAATGTCGACTTGTTCTCTCTTTGTGGATGAGGCATTCCTGTTACATCTATCTATTCTATATGATAGGATGAGGTTCATTTTGTGTAGTTCAGGGAAAAGCCAACAGTTGAACTCACTCTATCTTATGAAACTATTTAGCTGCAGGGTATGGAAAGGTTCATTCTTATACGGGTAAATATCTGTTTGTATTGGTGATATTATATCAATATGATGTCACAGAATCTTGATATAACCATCCAACAGCAAAAACCATGCGACCTTTTTGTATGTCATGACAGACAGGTCTTGGTTAATATAGCTGCTGCATTTGTCTCAAAGGATGAAACAAAAACTAGGAAGATAGATTACTTGCATGAGTGAAAAACTTTGTTCCTTTCAGTATTTCTGCAAAGCCAAGTTTACACTAAGGTGTAGAATTAAACATTTTTCTCTCAAAAAATAGGCTCGATGCATTTATTATGACTATTTACGAGCTGTATAGTCCCACCAATACACTGCCTCTCTGGTCTGACCTCAAACACGAACCGGTGGGCATCATCAAGCAGTGAAGCCATTTAATGGATGCAATAAATATTCTAGAAATGTCCCTGACCTCTAGTACAGAGATTTTATGGAGGTGGTTTGCTTTTGAACAAACCACACTTCCATTCAATCATTCATGAGACCTACCGCTCAATGGTACTCTGTTTTTCCAATAAGAAATTTGGAAGTCAAAGGCATGTTGTTGTAGATATGTTACAAAATATATCTATCTTCATAATCAAGGAACATAGATACACTCTTTATGAATATGGAAAATACACAGCATTAGTCGTTTCAGGTCTGGCTTTCATTAAAAAACTTCCTTGAAAGCAAGTTTAAAATACCGCTTGAATGACGATAATCGGATTGTATTTTTCTAGTTTCACCTTCGATAGGCCTAAATCTCGCCTTCAACTACTAGAAGAAAAATTGGAAAGGGATTTGAACCATTCACCTTCCATGCTTAAGGTTAGGGTATAGGGTTTAGGGCCCTAAACCATCAGGAAAGAAGAGGATTTTCAAAGAACAAGATTTTTTCCCCGTAAAAAAATTCTCTGATAATGGTTAACACTCCACCAACAATAAAATAAATGAGAAAAAATTTTATTTATTAAAATTTAAAATCTTACACATGTCACTCATCTAATACTATAGTAAGAGGAATTGAAAATAAAGGGTAATGAAGAGGATCCGAATCCAAAAGAAAAACGCAATCAAACTAATATAAAATAGAATTTTAAAAGGGACCCATATGCTCCTCAAGTACTTTTGGGTTCAGAAAAACCCGGCCCACCAAAGAGCCCAAATATTGTTGAGTTTAACCTGTCCCAAACCCAGCCATCATCACAATTGGGCCAGTTCTAAAATGGCCCAACAATCAGTTTTTGACATTCGGTTGAGGTTACAGCTTATGTATACTGGGTTATCAGATTCATCAGCCTGTCACCTTTCATCCGAAACACAAAAACCCTGAACGAGGAGTAAATATTGAATGCAAATATCATATCAATAATACTGACGTAATATCACCGATCAATAATAAATTATTAAGTAGGCAATGTAAACCCCACTTGGATAAATTTTTTTAGACTCCATTTATTTATTTATTTATTTTGTTACTTGAAAAAAAAAAAATTAGTTGGTAATACCATATCAGTATTACCGCATAGTATTTTTTTCCTCAAGAAGGAGGCAGCCCATTTGGAATCTTAGCATTATTTTTGAGTGTGTGACTGTGTATGTTCTGGTTGTAGCACTGACACTGCCTGCTAACCTTGCTCAATTAATAGATATCTATTTATATTTATATCTAACCTCTTAACAACTGTAAACATATTAATCACAGTAAAAAATTAACCATAATTGTTTCTTATTCACAATAAATATTCTAACTGCTCACTCATGTTTTAACCATGAAAAAAAAATAAAAAATTGCGTGTTTTGCACATGATACCCTAATATATATAATAAAACACCTAACAATTTAAATTTTTATCCTACATATTTTTCTTCTGAAAAATATTACATCATTCATTTCTACTACATGCTCAATCATTTAATATTTAATTAATTTATAATTTAATATAATTTTTATTTCAAATATTATCTATACACGATAATATATACATGTTAAGAAAATTTAATATGGTGGGATCAATTTTTTAGGCGCTCGAATTTTATGTTCAATCATGTCTTTAGGCACGGGTTTATTGATATTTAAAGAAGCTATGAATATTGCTAGAAAAATAAACAGATTAGTTCTCATGCCATATTTGTGGATGGGCTTACTACCTATAGGTGGTAACTAACCATACCGTATTTAAAGATAGAATGATTGCTCTTAAAAAAAAAAAAAAGTGATGGACTCTTAGTGTTGAAATCAATATAACACGCAACTCAAAAAAAGAGCAAGAGCAAGGCGCAATATAGGCACAAAGGCTTTTTGACAGTGGTAGTGCAGTAACTCATGCATAAAAGGAGATAAAACCTTGGTTCTTTGCTTATAGACCGTGGTGGATTAGACTCAAAGGGAAGCTAAGTTCGATATGGTTCACAAATGAGGCATAGATTATTGGGTATAACATATTTGGGAATCTCATATCAGATAAAAAAAAAAAAATTAATAAAAATATCCTAATATATATATACTATAGATGAGTTCAGTATTTATAGACTTATACTTTCACTATTTATAGACTAATACTTTTAGGTGAGTATAAGTTTCATTAAGCTCCACTGTTTGGGGTAAATTGACATTTAAAAGATATTAAACGGCTTCTAAAAGTTTTAGCATTCACAATAGATCAAAATATTTTTTGAATAATTATACTTTTTACAATTATAACTTATACACCAAAAAATTATAATTTAATCTTAAAATTTTATAATTTTTGATGCAATACCTCTTTTAATTTTGTTGTTTTCCTCCAATAATTTATATTGTCTAAGTTTTTCTAATTCAAAGAAGGAGGGACTTGGAGAGGTGGAGGAGCCATAAATTCCCAGCCCTTTGATCATTTAAAGCTCAAAAGCAAACATTTTACAACCAACCTCTCTTCTCCATATATATATTTTGACTGGTTTTCATGCTTAAGAAATTTCAATGGAGTGCAATAAAAAGAGCTCAATCAAAGCGATAAGGATAGACAGGAGTACTTCTAGACGACAGCCACAAATACAAATGAGCTGTAATGTCGAGAAACTTAGTGTGTTCCACAGAGAGAGAGAGAGAGAGAGAGAGAGAGCCCACATGTTCCTCCTACCGGAAAAAGAATAAACCACACATGAGACCGAGATTTGGATCATTTTTTTTCCGACAGCTTCGTGGCTCGACTAGTGTTTCTCCAACATGTACATGTTCGTAGTTCACTGTGTTAAGTTTCCACACGCAAATTCTCTTCACCTAGACTCACTCCCAAACTCTCTGCATATTCTTCTCAGACTCAGCATTATAGTATTTTTATAACCAGATTTTGACTGTGTTTTTTTTTACTAGCTGTATTCCATGTCCTGTACAAGCCCCCATCTCTCTCATGGTACACTTCTGCATGTGTTTGACTTTTTTAAGTATGATATTATGGCTGTAAAATACATTATTCCAGAATAATTTATAGATGCAGTATAGATTTAAAAAAGGCTTGTAATTAATTAACTATGTAAACGTGATTAATTATGACACACTGATGAACTGAAATGAAACACTTCACAATCACAATATTGCAATGCAAAGACCATGCAATTAAAACAACTGTTTGATTTTCCCACATTCAAAACAAAGAGTAATAGGAATCAAACTTGTGGAAATAGGAAAATATTGAAGAAGATGGAAGTTCATGAACAAAGAAACACAAGAAACTGAAAAATCAATGACTGCAAAAAAAAAAACAATATAGACAAGATTACAGAGAGAGTAGTGGGAGGGTAATTAATGGAGGACGAGGTATGAGGGAGGGACTAAGGAGGAGAATGTAGTGTCTAGTAGTACCAGAACCCGAGTACAACTGAGCCAGTATTCCCACGATTAGATCCATCCCCTATGCTGACATCTGTCCACAACTTCTATGACAGCTTATTATAAGCTCCAAAGTCCCATATGCATATGTAATTGGAGGTTTGAGTGAAGTAAATATGAGAGAGAGAGAGAGAGCCACAGGTAATGCCCACGGGGAGAAGAAGAGATGACGACAAATGTGAAGAGACTGAAAATGCAGCCTTTGCATGTCAAACACGTCTGAGTTTACTTGGAATGTACTCGGTCCTTGATGAGAATATGATAGTAAGACTCTGAATAGAGCTTCAGCCTGTTAGATTACCTACAATTTATTAACAAATATAGCAAAATAGATCCATTAGATCTAAAACAAAGTTCCAAAAATAGAACAGCTTAAGCTTAACATCTAAAACTAAAATTAAATATGAGAAATAAGCATAAATAAGTGAACTGCAGTTAGATAATGCTTAGATCGAGCAATGGTTCATCTTAAACTGATCATAATTCAGCATACGAAAGAGATACAATAAAAACAACAAGTGAAAAATCAAATAAGAACTAAAAAGAAAAGAAACGGAGGTCAATGAAAAAGATTAAGAACCCTAACTAAATCTTAATCTCAAGTGATTTAGGGTGATTCATGGTGCTGAGTCTGATGGAAGATAAATCACAAAAGAGAAACGTTTCGTTGTGCACCAAAAGAAGAGCAATGGAAATTAGGGTTTTTTACCGAGTGTGTGCTTGTTATTGTGCATCCAAACCTTGAGGACTTGTCGCCTTACATTAGTCTCTGTGCAAAACTGCTCCACCGCAGCTTCGTCTTGTTTCTGGATGCGCCACCCCAAACTCTCCGCCAAAGCCAGCATCTTGTCCTTCTGCTCCTGCGTAAACTTGGTCCTGAACCGCTTCTTCGAACCACCGACACCACTTCCACCACCGCCACCGCCACCGCTACTACTAGGATTAGACACATCTTCGTCTTCTCTAGAGGTGGAAGGCAGTGCCAAAGGCCTGTGTTGTGATGGTGGGGTCACGTGGAGGTAACCAGATGGATGGGCGGTGCGGTGATAGTAAGTTGAAAATGGCTGGTGGTGTGGTGGAGGTTGGTGGTGGTGGTGGGGTTGATGAAAACCCTCGCCTTCCGTCTCTTTGCGGTGGAAGTTACGGTGGCAATTGCAAGCAGCGCATTTCAAAGCGTCTAATGTTCCTTCTTCTCCGGCAGGCATGAACTCTCCGCAACCGTCCACGGCGTGTCCACCGATTCCCACGGCGTGGTTCTTCAGGCACTCTCTATACCTGTAGCCACCTCCACCACCGCCCTTTCTCGCCGGCGTCGATGCACCCTCTCCTCCACCCAATTTTTCCCTCCCGGAGCTTCCCAGTGTCTGGTAATTTCCCTGCATCTGAATTCCAATCTCCTCTTCTTGGTCTTGGCCTTCATGCTCATCAAAATCCATTTTTTCTCAACACCCAACACTCAAACTTCCTCTAGAAAATCAAAAGAACAAAGATCTACATCGGTGGTAGATCAGGAGATCCACCACCACTGCGACAGGCTATACATATGTATAGCTCAAAAAACCATACGTCATATAAGTATGTTTATCAGGATAGGGATTAAAAAAAAAATTGATAATTGATGCGGCTGTTCTGAGATGAAGAAGATAAGAGAGGCAGAGGAGGGTGTGGACATCAATTACCCGCCTGCACAAAAGGCTTTTGATGTGCTTTCCATTTCTGAAATCTGTGTCTTTTCTCTCTCTATCTCTCTTTGTCTCAGCCCTAATTATTATCAATTTCGTACGGTAAATCAAAGCGTTGAGATTACCGGTAGTTGGCGGTAATTTGTGTTCCCTGAGGCCAAAGCATCTACTGTTTCGATAATTATTTATTTATTTATTTTTGAGAAGGTAATAATTTGTTTTGGATTAAATCCAGTGATTTGTGGTAAAAGAGGAAGAGGGTCTGATATTTACTTTTTCAGTAAGCACTGCAAGGGAAATGATCAGGTGGCGTGTCTGGTCAATATAATGACGTAGGAGCGTACTAAAAAGCATCTGTTTCCCAATTATAAATGTTTTTCTCGTTTGTTTTCTTGCATAACAAAATTTGGTGCAAGAGATATCCGCCGTAACGGTTATATTTTGTCAGCGTTGTTTTACATATAATATAATTTTTTTTTAAATTATTTTTTAAAAAAAAGGTAGAGAAAGACTTAAATGTTTGATCTCCAAAAAAATAAAATATTTACAAAATAAAGAATATCACACTTAAATAAACCACAAACCTGGTCGACGACCAGGTTTGTTTGTGAGGTTTAAAAATTAGTCATGGAACTCGCCCTAATATGAACCCTTTTCTTTGAACAAGAGAAGCTTGGTAGTTATGGGTTCTTCCCTCTCGTATACTTCCTTACATATTTGATTGAGAGAGAGAGAGAGAGATGAAATTACATTGTTACCCTGATCCTAGAGAGATTACACAGAATGAGATATAAGTTGTCACTATGCTGCAAGTGTGTCCTAATTCCACCTTTCTATCTTGGATTGAGTCAATGGATTAGCTCGCATGTAATCCACAGGGTGGGTTGGTTATCATGTTTCCGAAAAATCCCACTCAAAGGAGTGGGGTTATCATGTTTCTAAGCACACACTAAGTTTGGTGCCTATTAAAATTGAATAAAACTGGATTTGGAACAAAATAAAGCATGTACAAGTAGAATAGCAATTATGCCTTGTAATTCATTAATCAAGCTTAGGCTTTGGTAATCTTATCCTCACACGTGATATGAATTGTACCAACATGTCAAAGTGAGTGAAAAATACAAATGTCCAAACCACATTGGTTTGACTTAAGAGAGAAAAGAACCCATGACTTTACTCCAAACAAAATTAGAGATCTTTCAAAAGCAATTCCCAATATTTACAGTAGTCCTACTCACCCCCCCCCCCCCCCTCCACAGGACCTGACATTGACTCCCATGCACACTCGGACGCACATGTACACACCAACACGTTCATCCAATTAGTAAGCTAGAGAAAATTAAAGTTTAATTTGATGAAACTAAATTCTAAATTAAATAAATTGAATGTTATTTTGACTTTATTTGACAAATTAAATTTTAAAATGTTAGTATGATGAAAT